CTGTTGAGCACACCGAAACATTCATGGTCTCCGCGATAGTTAGTACATGGACATTCACATTCCTCCCCTCTCAGAAGTAACGAGTTATTCTCCACATTGACAGACCACCTACAGCTTCTGCCTTCTCCCTTCTATGATATCACCGAGCAGGAGGGAGTCCACCACGCCTCATCAAAATCTACTAAATAGATCATTGGTAAGGAGTCTGGGAAAATATGGACATAGTCTATTACGTGTACTAGTGGAGGATTCTGGTGAAATTTTGAAGGATTTTTATTGCTTTCTACACATTTCTACCCGAATTCGTGGGTAAACTCCCATAAAAGGCAAGAGAACTCCCGAGCTCAGCATACATATACCAATACTGTCGGTTGGGGACAAATCATCTCAGCATTGACTTCCTCAAAGCACCACTAACGTACCAGTGGCTCAACACTAATTATCCATTTTGCAAGAGATGTCACACGTGCTTTTACGAGTTTCGCACTCTAGTGTTACGTGTGATACAAAGTCAGAAAGAGTTCTATCGTTAAATTCAGACTCACAGGAATCTACTGCCCTTTTTCTCATCGAATTTGTTCGCATATGTCAGATGACTCCGTTGCTATGGCGGACGTATCCCCCATCGAAAGTCGTCTCAGAGAAAGATTCAATCCTTGCCCGTCTGGCAACCACCGTGTATGCCTGGTTGCCCATAACAGTAGTACTACAGGCATATACCAAGTCAGTGGCCAAGAGGGATATTAGAGGAGGGATCATCCTGGGGTTGGTCGCGATATCACAGAGTATGGCACATGCTAACATTGCTCATATCACTCTCATTCACGGACCTTATTCGTGCGTGTGGCCACCAGTGATGTGAGTATCTTAGGTTGGACGTGGTAAGATACGGATGAGGTCCACCTCAGATATGCCTTGTTTGGATCCTCCCACCACTTATCAATCGGGACAGGTGCAATGATGGCTTTGATGACCGGGGAGCAAGTGGTTAATTATCACGACGTTGAAACGCGTAATATTTTATGCAACTTTCACTACCACAAAAAATCCCACGAAATTTGCGGACCTCTCAAACGAGTTGAAATCGACTATTCCAGAAATACGATCAGGTAGTCGAGTGGCATGCCAGCTGGCCCTCATCACAGGCGTGGCATTATGGGTGATGGCGATGCTTCGGATGTCTTTCTTGGTACGATTTATTTCGCGACCGGCTCTATCAGGGTTCGTAACAGGCAAGATCTGTATCTTTTTAATTGGACCTATTTTGTATCTTTCAGGGTCAGCCTTTGTGATACTCGCTACTCAAATGAAGGATTTCTTTGGACTTCGTTCCGTCCCGAAAGGTGTCGACTTTTTCGAAAATATTTATTTCATCGGAACCTCCTTGCCACAAGTAAGGTGTGAGATTCCCCCCAGTTCGACATGGGACGATTCAGCGTTTTCTTCTAATAGCTCAATTTCCCTGTTCATAATGTGGTACTAAACTTCAGGGTTGGAGGAATATATGTTCGCTATCCTCAGCTGAGCTCAGGAGTTTCTTCACTAGTTATAGGAGTTTCTATACGAATATAGAAATGTACAAAAACTAATGAGAATTTCCGAAGATGTCACCAACACATGTAGTTGAGCATGTGCATATTTAACTGGTAATTTTCCAGTTATAGATTAATAATTCACATTGTATCATATGGGAAGGTGTCATCAATCTCAGACCTCCTTCCCGGTCCTCCTACTTGGTGTGTTGGTAGTGGTGATAATACAAGGAGCAAAGCATTTGAAAGAAGTACCATACCTCAGGCGTGTATCTCAATTTAAGGAGCTCATTGCAGGTAGTGGCAAATTCGGAACAAATTTCGTATATTTATGGTAGTCATAATTGCGACCCTAGCATGTTGGTTCATATCTTCCGTATATGCTGAGGAGAAGGAGGACTTCATACCACATGTAATATAAGGGATTTATTTTTGGAGTACCGTAATCTGCGCACATTTGGTGACTTACAGGTTGGGGAAGTCCCTACTGGTCTGCCATCGTTTGCTATACCGTCGCTTGAAGGAATAACTGATGTTATCCCCAACGGGTGAGCTCTTGAAATCTTGCTCAATCTTGCACTTCCTTAACAGGTTCATGGTTTCTCTTATGTGCTTCATTTCGAGTTATGCGCCAGCTAAAAAATTTGCTATTGTTGATCGGTAGGTCAGCATAGGATGAGGTTTTTTGGCATAAATCGAATAAGGTATGATATTAATGCAGGAAGCGAGTTGACGGCCTTGGGAGCAGCCAATATAGTTGGTAGTATTGGCGACTCGGAGTTCGACTTAGAATCCTTCGCTGTGCGCAACGTTAGGTTCGTTGTTTGGTGCGATGCCGGTCCAAGGTGGGATGTCTAGGACGTCTTTGGGGTATGCTAGTGGGGTTAAATCGCAGGTAGTAGTAGTAGTAGTAGTAGTAGTAGTAGTAGTAGTAGTAGTAGTAGTAGTGGTAGTAGTAGTAGTAGTAGTAGTAGTAGTAGTAGTAGTAGTAGTAGTGGTAGTAGTAGTAGTAGTAGTAGTAGTAGTAGTAGTAGTAGTAGTAGTAGTAGTAGTAGTGGTAGTAGTAGTAGTAGTAGTAGTAGTAGTAGTAGTAGTAGTAGTAGTAGTAGTAGTAGAGGAGCCTTCGTCAGGTAGCTGGTCTAGTAGCAGCAGTAGTGGCAATAGGAGTATTGGCAATGCTCACTCCCCTCATGTGAGCTCCTCTTGGGATGGGTACTTGCATACCTGTTATCCTTTTGGAAAGACATTGTTGGTGACTAGATGTTTTCAAGTCGTGGTGAATACCAGCAATAGTTCTTCTCTCTCATTCATCGAGTATGGAAAAGATGGTATTACTAATTGATAGTCGTCAGGTATTGGATACCACGTTGTGCATTAGCGGGTATTATTATAACGGCTGCTACGCACCTTATGGATTTCAACCATGCCAAATGGCTTGTACACCATAGTAAGAAGGATACTGCTGTATGGATGATGGCATTTATGGGTAGTAGTCATCACTATAGACCAGCGACTGGTGCATCTCTCTATTTGCTGTTGTCTGTAGGTACTCTGGTGTTTGGCCTACTACAGGGGGTGTTCTTGTCTGTCATGTTGTCGGTCACTCTGATGATCTACTCGGTGGCTTTGCCACAATCATTCGCTATGGGAAGGTGACCTTTGTCGGGGATGTCCATACGTGTCTGGGAAATCGTGGATCGAGTTATTGCCTCTGGGAATAGGAGTTTCTCTCAAGAAGGATGCATTCGTGGTCTTTCACTAAATCAGAATCGAATTTTCACTCGTGTATCGTTGCATTAGTCCGGGCGATTCAGCAAGCTCTAGTTACTGCACTGTTGTAGTGAATCCACTAATCAACGATTATAACGTTTAATGAATATTACGTTTTTTAAGGAATTTAAATTCCATAAATTGTAAATATTTTTGAGTATTAGGTTGCCTAATGGTCAGTGGAGAGCCATAAAGTATTGGCCACAAGTTGCCAAGACGATACCAGGCGTTTTGGTATTCGGGGTTAACGGTCCATTGATCTTCGCCAACTGGGAATATGTAAAGGACAAGTAGTAGAGATGAGAGGACTATAGATTTCCAGCGGGTTGTTTTCCAGATTGTTGAAAACTGAGGAAAGATATTCTGAATTTTGTGGGAAGAAAGTTGAAGCTGTTGTTATTCACCTCGGCGGTGTTCCTATTGTCGACGCTACGGCCGTCCAGGTCGGACTTGAGATTCGCCTAAAATCATCATTGATTTTGGTAGGGTTTGGAAGAACTAGCAGAAGAGTACAGCTCTCGTGGAGTGACCTTGTGGTTTGCAGGGGCCCAGGGGTCTGTAAGGAAAATAATTGACAAAGTACTCGTACGCCGATGCAAGATTAATCAGACAGGTAGGTCGGTGCTCTTCGGTTGGGGTGGGACTTGTTTTGGAAGATTTGGTGCAACACGTGGAAGCAGTCGTGAAGCAATTGCTGCCCTGTATAGATTTACCAGTGAAGACTCAGGTAAGGCATGGATGGAATCTTGCAATCTTGTATTTCCTCAACGCTTAGGCGGCTGTGTTGATCCAGCGGTGGTGGCGATCTCACTTGAAATGGGCGGACGAGATGGAGGATGGGGTGAAGGATACTTATCTAAATGTGAGGGAGCGCTACTGGGGATCTTGCAATCTTGCAATTCCTCAACGGGATATGCGGGACGATATTGACCCAATATCTGATGCAGTTATCTAGTGATCAATAACTGCAACATGCAGAGATGCTGAATTCTGGGCGCGCGCCAATTCGTTTAAGAATGATGGTAGACTCTTCCATGCCTAGTGGGGGTGTTTTTAATCTCATTTTCATCAGAAGTAGTATTACCCTGTGGTCAGGTGCAATGGGCGGTTGATGAGTCCACTGTTGCGGACATGATCCGTTGTGAAAGTCTTCAATGCATTACCAATGATCATTATGCAGAGCCGGTGACGATGAACCAATACGAGATGTGTTTAAAGCGTAGACAATTGGGATATTCTACCGACTATCAGGCTAGGAGGAGTACATCGCAGCTACAACATTTATGGCGTAGTAGTTCCTGCGAGAATCCTCGTTGAGGTTTCATGCAATAGACCGTTTCTTGAGCAGATGCTTTGTGGACTGTTGTTAATGTGGGACGATATGTCAACGAGTTGGTGTTCGTTTCACATTTTGTCTTTCTCATCATCACCTGACATGCTTACTAATGAAGACATACCATGGGTTGGAAACGCGCTCTTAGAGGCTTGTGGGACAAGCTTGAGGGAGATCGGGGCCATCCAGCAGAGCTACGGAAACAACATATCATCATCGTGCGTATATACGAGGAAGTTATCTCCGTCAGCGGGCCTCTCTGGAAAGCCTTCTGCTGAGACCGTTGACGCCCGAGGTGGGTCCATACTTCATTATGGTGTTATTGAATTGGAGTGTGGTATACTAGTGATGTAGCGAGTGTATACGGTCAATCACACTAGCTTTCATGCTTATTATAGCTGCGGTCTATTCACCTGTTCCAGGAACAGTGTTCCCATACTGACCATTCTTCTGTCCCTTATTGCTATTGACCATTGTGCTCGTTCCGAGCTCCTGTTGCTGTAGGTGGAGTAGCACAGTCGGGTGGTAATGGATGTCCGAGCATCAGCACTAACAGTAGTCCTGGTACGGGAGGGTAGAAGAACTCGGAACTTGTAACAGCACAGTGAAAGACAGTGAGATTAGTTGACTTACCTATGATGATTAATCCTTGATTAATAGGATAGCAGGTGAGAGGGTGCTGGTGCAAGCCAATGAGATTATCTCTTCGCTCGCCAAGGCTAGCGCCGTCAGCAGCGATCAGGAGGAGACCAGCTGCAAGGATGGAGTAGCGCTGGTGATAGTATCTTAAGGTTGATTATTTCTGTAGAGAATCAATGATGACGAGGTGGCAGGCTGTTCAGTGGTGCGGCACACCGATACGTTTGAGAGATGGTGAGTGGCTTTCGTCGGAGAAATTCTCATGGGGTTTGTTGAGGTACATGGACGGGGCGGAGAGAGCGGAGAGGTTAGCGATGGCTCAGCCACAGAAGAGGGTCGAGGGAGCTGGTACGGCAACTGGAGGAAAGGGGAAGGGTCGACATAGGATTGTCATTGACAATTTGTCAACAACCGTGACTCTTCGCGTGGACACGGATAGTATCCGAGCTGAGAGTCACCGTATCATGCGATACAGTCTCTACATGATTTGGTATCTCCAGGAAATCCCTAGGGATGGTGGGATCGAATTTCCAGCAGAGACTTCGAACAGGAGGATCTCGGATCACTGTGTTTTATGCAGCCATTATCTTCATCATGAAGACTTCATGTATGGATCCTGCAATCGCCAAGATCCCCCCCCCCTTCCCCCCTCATTCATGCTAACGATAATGTTGACAACAATGAGACGAGTGTCAGGAGCATTACACTTGAACAAAAGGTGACGTGGAGGTTAACTTTGAATAGTCGGGTGAACGCCAGATAGTCTGCTATCTGGGGGCTCCATGGGGTTTAATGCGAGCCTGAGATATGGGAAACACGAAGTTCGTTCTAATCAAGAATTGTATTTCATATATACGAGTTATGGGAGGCCCACGAGTCGGGTCTCGACTCTCAGTAGTGGAACTAAGCTATTGATATACTGCCGAAAACAGTATGCGAGGCTCGCATTGCGAGCCTGGTCTCGACGATTGGTGGAGATCATACAATATGCGGCGACATGCTTCCGATGGGGAGTGGTCGAAGACAGCGAACTGCTGTCAGCAATCCGGTTATTGATCTGTTCGATCACTTCGAGCCAAGATGGCACGAAGAGAATCTATGATCCGGTATACATCGATGAAACGGGCTACAACCTATTTACGACTCGCACAGTGGGGCATTCCCGCATGGGTAACTGGCCTTGAACGACAGTCGTGAACCATGGAGGCACTCGAGTCACCAAGTTAGTTGTCGTCTGTAACGGAGGCGGAATGCTGCCTTGGAGGGATCGTTCGATGCTCGATGGCTGTGAGGAAGGAGAAGCTATCACAGGGAAGATGATCTTGCCAAGATTCCTGGTCATTAATGACAAGGCTATTTGACCCCTTTGGCTTGCTGTCAGAAGTGACTCTACAGACGAGATGTATGATGAAAACCTTGTATGATATGGGCTATGGCGCTGGGGAGCATGCGTCGCTTGGTGTGGAACCATGACCGCTAGAACAAGATTACGTCAGAGACGTGTTGGAGCGATGCACTGGTTACTTGTCGTCTGACCGAGTATTGCCTCCCAGATTTGTAGATCTGTCTGAGGTCTGGGTCTACGCCGACGCCAGTGAACTGGCCATGGCCTGGGACATCAGAGATAAGGTGGGTACCAGAGTAGAGGCTAAGGTGGTCACTTCTCGACATGGTTCCATCCCGTTGAGGGAATTGGAAGTCATATGACATTCTGACTAACTTTCAACACTAGGGAGCATGGTGTAGTTTGATTATAGCTTCGTATGCATCCCAAGTAGGATGCCTACCGGCGGTAAGTTATCGCTCATATAATCATCTCTCTTGAGACATGAGTGATGATTGATAGCTCTGATTAAACCAGTAGCAGTAGTGAGTCGTAGTGTTGGACGCCCCTTGGAAAATTCCCCACGAGAAACTTCTGGGTTGATGAACATGTGTTTCCCACCGAGTAGATATGGGCCAGCAACCACACGGAGCAGCATGAAGCCTCCTAGAATATCAGTACCCACCAATGGCGGTCCTCCGCGCTATAGTCGATTCGAACGATTGTGAGTGGTCGTGGCAATAGTAGGAGCACTTGTATACCTTCTAGGTATGCTGAAGGGGCTCAGCGCAGTACGAGACGGAAGAACTTGGAGAAGTCAGTTATGGAGGAAGAGGTGACCAGATTGAGGAAGGAGATAGCCAGTACTAGGCAGGGAAAGCGCAGTACGTAGGTTCGGGTGTTGATAGACTTCTCACGACCATTCGTGAGTCTGCGGTATTTCTCTCCGACTGGTTGTGATTGTCTGATGAACAGAGG